AAAATTATAAATTCTTAACTATTATCTTGACTGACACTTATCATATATTTTGACTTGAGTGAATTAATTAATATAATATATTTAAAAGTGTGAACAAGTTTTAATAAAAATCGTTTCTTATCAAAGTTATAGATATTTAAAAATTTAATATTATATTTTATAATTTTTTTCTACAGCTATAAAAATTAAATATTAATAAATAATTATTAAATTTAATAATAGAATAAAAAAATAATATAAATATTACAAGTTTAAAATAGTGCTTAAAGTGTTTAAAATTATCTGTAATCATATATTTTTAATTAATATTTTATAGATAAATAGACTTAATCTCATTCTTATAATACTAATAGATCTGAAACACTTAGTTAACTTTAATAAATAATTTTAGAATCTCAGTAATAAGATTATAAAGAATTTAAAGTATATAAGAAAAACTATAATTAATAAGTTAATTAATATGAAAAAAAAGTCTTTTTTCTTTAGAACTTGAAAAGTTTTTGCAGTGAATAGAAATTACTTTTTTTTTAATATATAAAAGCTATTATAATGCTATGAAAATATATATTAATTATTTTTATATTTTTAAATAATTGCAATATAATTAAAAATTAATTATAGGTTTAAATTATTAATTACTGCTTGTATAACTGCTTTATAATATATATTAAAAAGGTTTAAAGATAAAAAAATGAAGAATAATTTAAATAATTATTGAGTAAAAATGAATATTGAGTAATTAATTATATTAATAAATAATAAAAGTTTGACTTTTTGATTAAAAATCTCTTTAATAAAAGTAGTTAACATTCTAAATTTTTTAATAGAGCATAAATAATTTAAATAAAAATAATTTAATAGATAATATAATTCAGTAGATAATTGATTATATTAGTTAATATAATTTCACACTGAGTAGATTATTATACTAAGTAGATTATCAAAATCAGTATATTTTAACTGACTAAGTTTTAATTCAAATATTTTTATATCACAATACTCAATTAAATTAAGTTAAATTATATGTAGATGAGAATATTTTAATTTTGTATATTTAAAAGTATTATAATTCTTGTAGTATGATGAAGCTCATATATATAATATAAACTCAGAAGATAATGACTTACAGAGTTGAATAACTCTCTGTTCAATACATGTAGCAGAGAAAATAATAAGATTTTAAACTTTATTTATAGTTAAATTCTCTATATATTGAATTTGATATTTAAATTTATTTTATTTTTATTTTATTATTTTATTTACATTAAATATATTTTGATATTACTTTTTTATAAGAGTGATACTGATCATATAATATTTATAAGTTTTGATAATTTAATTAAAATTTTTTATTAAGTATTAAAACTACTAATTTTTCTTCATAAGACTTTTAATCTTATTTATCTGCTTCTGCAATTATTATAAATTATTAGATATTTAAAGCACTCAGAATGATATATTAGATCTACTAAATAATGATGTAGAAATGCAGAGTTAAATATTTAGTAGCTGAATAATATAGTTAGACTAAAATGACAGTATTTTAGTAGTTTTAACATCACTTTGAATAGTTAAAGCTTTGAAGACTTCTGTATTTACTGTAGAATAGACATATAAGAAGTCAAGCTTTTTAATAATATTGATTTTAATATGCATTCACTGTTAAATTAAGCTTTTATATACTTAATTTAAAATTATAAAAATATTTTTATCTAGTGACTGTAAAAAATATAATAAATAAGATAATATATAAAGTGTAATAAATTTTATTATTATTATAAAATTAATTAAATTCTGAGATAAGATGATTACTATATCTGCTTATAATAAGAAGAATATAAAAATTAATTTGATATAACTTTACTTATGAAATAAATATTTATATAAGTTATTTAAAACATACTTCATCTATAGATTACTTATTAAAACTGATATCAAGTCTTTAATCTGTAGAAAAATCTTTAAATAATCTCTTCAGCAGATTCTAATCTTTAAAAACAATATATGATGATAAAGTTTATTTTAATATATTAATTAATTCAATCATAATATCTTATTTTTGATTTTCAGACTATAGCAGCTTAGCTCAGTCATAGCACTCAGTATTAATAATAATTTTAGTAGTTGCACAGAGTCTCATTACAAAGTCAGTCTTATCAAAGTTGTATATATCTTCTAATAAAACTTTATACTTAATAATTATATTTCTCAAAATTTTAAATCAACTTTGAATAATCTTTTTATCTTTATATTTAATCTGATTATAATTATAGTATCTAGAATAGCAGCTTTGAGACTCTGTACAGTGTTTAATCAGTCTTGAAATTCAGTTTTTACTGATTTGAGAGAGAGGAAATAGTAATGAAATATCATAAAATAAGAAGATAATTAGTTATATTTTTAACAAATATAAGTCTGAAAGAAAATTCTCATTTAGTCAAATTCAGCATTTATTGAACTAGCCCACCCTTTTCAGCAGAAGATAATATATGTGAATTTGCATATAAATTCACATATATAGATCAGTTATAGAGTTGATAAATAAGAATTAAATATGACACATTAAATAGTCTTGTAATTTCATGAATTGAGAATATTTCTTGCTTTTTAATAGCATTTATTGCAAGTTCAAGCCTTCCCTCTTGCTCTAGAGAATTTGATGTCATTTTATTGTGAATTAGTGGAACAATTGCACGTTGAAATGGATGAGTAGTTAAATTGAAAGATATTTTGAATTGGTGGTCTGCTTAGTGTAGTGGCCCATTCCATGTGGAATTACAATAACTAACACTGATGACTAATCGTCCCTTTTCGCCAAGCATCTGGAGCTCCAATTTGTTGCTTGTCTTAAACAATGAAGAATCCATTTGACAAGCTCACAACTTAAGTTACAACTATTGGCAAGTTCCTATCTGGTGATATATGTCTCGGCTTTCAATTGGGAAATACGTCGGATATCCCTATAAATTGGACATTCCAATTGACCATCTTCACATATTATTTTCTATTCGGCCTATGTGCATAATCAATGAAACGTATTCCGTTCCCATTGCCTCTCAATATTGGTACAGACATCGTCCATTTATCACGTATCTACCGTTTAATCCACCGTAAACCTGCCAGCAGTGGCACCTATATCACCACCACCACCTATCTCCACAGGTTCATTCGTCGCATCCTTTGCGAACAAGAGCTCAATGACTTCTACGCGAAATTTTTCCCATCGCACCAATCCATCTCAAATGCTGTAGCTGCTGTACCAGAGAGTGCGCTAGCTGCTGTTAACATCACGGAAATGGCCAGATGGCTTGCTGGTAGATTCGCTGCCAAAGAGGCTGCAAGAAAGGCGGCCCCAGGCGGTGCAACGTCCATAAGCTGGAAGGACGTCATGGTTCAGGTTGAGACTGGGAAGGGAGGCGGGAGTGGGAAGCCAGAAATTGTATATTTGAAAGACGGAGGTGCACTGGGAGAGGTTGGCAAACTTTCCATCTCACATGACGGGGAATATGTTATCGCAACAGTTCTCGCGGCGTCGCTTTGTTGAAAATCTTATGGGAGCAAGTCTTATTCCCGTGAATATTGAAATAAAACTCCTCGTGCGGATGACATACATGAGCAATGTGTCGGTTTCAAAGGTTTCTTGGGGATACGCTTCCAATACTTATTGAGGTATCTCGATTTTACTCCTCCCAGCCTTGAAAGCTGTCACCGTTCCCCCCGTTGCTATTGGAGCCGGTGAATGGGAAATGCACGAGGAAGGAATTTTTCAATTAAGACCCCTGGAGAATTACAAGGCCGAAGCGCATTATCTGCGGTTCATCCTCACTTCACAGGCACGTTTTAGGCAAAGTTCTCTCCGCTGCTATCATAACGGGTGAATTAGCGCAACCTACACCTGGTGCCACTGCTTGTGTGGTGGCAGAGGGTGATCTCAAAGTACACGGCTGTGACGAGAAGGGTGGTTAAACCGCAAAAGAGAACTTTTTTCGAGGACAACCCTAGCGATATATAACTTTCCTTCTGAGTTCCAAAATTCCGTCTTTCCGCAGGATGATCATTTCCAGAAGGGATGGTATGCAAAAAATGAAATTGTTTCCCAATGCGTGTATATCTGTATACTTGGGCAGGTTGCGCAGAAGATGTTGGCTGTACTAGAGACTTGAGATTTGAAAGGGCTAACTTCGAAAGCCTACAGCTTCCTCTCTATATACTAGAAACCTTTGAAGACTGTATGAGATAGCTTGATGATCTAGCTTTACCAAGATGTTATTGTATAGTTATATATTGCATTTGTAAATGACGACTGAGATACATCAAACTCTCACATTGTAATTAGCTCTTGAACCGGGCAGGAAACATAACATCACGTGATATTGGCTTCGGTGTCTGTCAAGTTCTGGTTGATTGGCTCTCTGCTGTGCCCCACCATCATTATGGATAACTCCTGGCAATGGAAGAATGGAGGAATACAAACCGGCGAAAAAAGGATATCCATTTCATAGCCCCAAAAATAATCATTCTGTCATTAGAACTTGTGCAAAAGTCACTAGATTGGCCTCCTCATTTTGACACTGATGCTGATACTAATTTTCATTGACCTCCCATCACAAAGACAATCGGCCCGCAACCTCCAAGCAAGGGTAAATCTTGGTAAGCACACTTGCTCAACCCTGGAATGTTTCATGCTGAGATGGGATATTTGACACAAAACCGAATACTTTGGCTGCTCTAAAGAGACCTTGGTGGATATTCATATTTCGTTTTCCCTGATGCAGGAGGTTGAAATAAGATACTCCCTCCCCAGGGCTTCCAGCGTTGCCTTATGCAAATCCTAAGAGTTTTCACGCACATATACCTGCATGGGAATACCTCGTGACTGACTGTTGGATAGATTCCGAAGTGCTCTTTCAAAGTTCCACATTGTGTCCAAAGTTTTCGGGCCGCTGTTCAAAAGACATGTTTAGACCAACTAATAAGGGATTTTTTTGAGTAAACCGAGTATGCCATTTACACATCACAGCCACTCTGGCCAGTTCTGCGAAGGCCATGCCAGAAACTCCCTTGAGGAGGTTATTCAAACTGCTTTAGCAAAGAAAATGCGCGTAATCGCGTTAAGCGAGCACATGCCGCGAGAGCAACAGGACTTTTATCCAGAAGAAGTGAGCTTTCCCAATGACAAATTGATATTTCAAATGCCTGCGTCCAACGATTAGTAAAGGCTTGGTCAGCGCAAAGGGCTCCTTGGGGGTACTAACGAGTAGCATAGATTGAAGCAAATGGAACCGAGGCGGGTCTAATCGCAAATGAAGCAGCATATTTCAAAGAAGCTCAACGTCTCCGGGAAAAGTATGTCTCCAAGATAAATATCCTAATTGGATTCGAGAGTGACTGGATTCGTCCATCGTCGCTGAAGTGGATTCGAGAGTCGTTAGCCCGGTTTCCATTCGACTTCTTCGTAGGATCTGTTCACCATGTCCACACCGTCCCCATTGATTTTGATACCCAATTTTATCACAAGGCAAGGGAGATTGCTGGGGGCACGGATGAGAAGCTATTCGGCGACTATTTTGATGCTCAATTGGCTATGCTCAGAGCAATTAAACCCCCAGTCGTTGGCCATTTCGATCTTATCCGATTGAAGAGTGATGACCCTGAACGAAGCTTTAAACAATGGCCAGGGATCTGGAAAAAGATCCTGAGAAATTTAGATTATGTGGCAGAGTACGGAGGACTTCTTGAACTCAATTCAGCAAGTCTGAGGAAGGGGATGAGCGAGCCGTATCCCAAGGCTGAGATCTGCCAGGTAGATTTCAAACCATACCCCCTTCCCTCCCCCCGCCCCCAGGCCTTGACCTTGCGAAACAAATTATTACCTATCCTAACAATAGGCGATGCAGGAATTTCTTGCTAGAAATGGCCGCTTTTGTCTATCAGATGACAGCCACGGCGTTGACCAGGTTGCACTCAACTACCATCGTGTGCTCGACTTCATCGAAGAAGTTGGCATAACTACCCTGTATAGCTTGGAGTATTGCAGCGATGGGCTGCCGCCATCAAGCAGTTTCGACCCAAGATTCCCCCGCACGCGTCTAAACTCGGTCGATCTTGCAAATCTCAAGCAGCTGGAATTCTGGTCATAAAGAAAGTCTGAACCGAAACATCAAAGACATCAAACCGTTTTATTGTTTCCCTGCATGACAGGAGCCTGGTACAGCGTATGATGAGACATAGCATATACAACCATAGGAGGAAACTTTTTTTCTAGCGTCTTTTATCATATCCACTTCTTGATACTTCCAGGAAAACGGTGTGATCCGTGGTCCTGTGTTGCGGTTATATACTGGTGTCGTTCGTGTTTAGAATCAAATGCTTTTTTTATAAGGTTTGACGCTTAAACAATCAAGAGAGATGATCTAGGCCCTTAATTCGCTGCACAAAAATAAATATGAACTTCCAGAACGCGGGACGGCAAAATACCCTTGGAACCTAATAGTTAGTTCCGGCTTGAATTCTTGTGCCAATAAGATCGCTCCAAAATAATAAATCAGCCCTGTCGTCACTTTCCATTTGAAGCAGCGAGTCACGCGAAAAATGTGGGAGGGGGTGGCGTAGTTATAGAAAGAAAACAAATCATCTAAGATTTGACGCACAGCACCAAAAAGAGATCAAACATGCCTTCCAAAGTCATTTATTTGACTCGGGATGATATGTAACTAACGGTTTGCCAATAACTTCCGCAGTCACATCCATGGACTAAAAATAATTACAATGGTTTGCGGCAATTATTAGTCCAGCACCACATTCAATGAATCTCCTACCCTCCAGATTTGAGTGACAGTTAATACTCAATGCAGCACAGGAAGAGAGACCATATTGTGTGGCTGAATAAGCTGCAGTTACAGCGTGGTTTTCGATCGGTAAGCGGCGCTGCGTCACGATGAAGCCGTGGGTTGTTCAAAGAAGAATGTTGTTATGCGTACGTAACGTTTCCAGCATTGCTTTTTTATTCATTCTCTTTGTTGTTAGAGAACTTTCTGTTTCCAAAAGTTGAATACCACTCTCCCAAAAACTATGTGCTACTGTTCCATCCGGGGTAGTTTCAAGGTTTGGTAACGGTGTTCTCTCTCCTTCATACTTTGTGAATTATGTTGATGTCGCACGGCAACGTGCGACTTGTGGTTAGTTATATTGCTATATAAGAGGAGGGAAGCAAACGAAGGAAAGCGTCGTATCACATGCATGACAAATTTCTATTGCTTATTCTTTTCCTGGGGGGAATGTTCCATTCCTTGTACTCCAATAACTCGTACCAACTTTTGAGTAATATTTTTGCCCAACTTTTATAGAGTCGGGAATGATACGACCCAGTTGAGAAACTAGTTTAAATTGATCAAGAGAAAATGCGAGTTCCCAATCAGTAGGATAACTACGTATATTAGAGAATATCGACAAGATATATATTCTGAAGTAACTAAATACATCGTGGTTGTAACATGAGATAGTGATGTTGATATCAACCGCCCTGGTCTAATGATTGCCTTGCTACCTTGGAGAGTCCCAGCCCTACTAGCAGTGTTGAAAAGCCACCCAAACATTAGCTGCCTCTACTCCAATTATAAATCACTTCTAGACCAGAATTGGTGCTGCTTAGTTGCATAACTCGCGCATGCCCTCTTACTGTTGTCTAATTGCCTACAACAAACCCGAAGGGTAACTAACCGGCTAGTTGTCCTCCATGTAGGTTCATAATAACGAGTCAATTGAGAAACTCCCGAGCTCATGATTGATGCATTTCTCACCAGAAAAGTGGCAAGTCTGGGCTATCATTAGTATAGGATCAGGGTTTGGGCCGTGTGGATGAGTGTGTGGGAGGGAAGACATTGTGGAGACGTTGTAAACATAGTTTTGATAGCTTGCAGGGGGGCGAGGAATCTTGTCGTTCAACGGGTTGCTGAGATATCGGCAACTTCGGCGGGGAATTTGGGGTTATGTTCCCCCTCATACCAGAACAATGAAGGCATTAATTCGGTGTATTTTCTTTTTCTTTTTTCTTCTTTTTTCTTTCTTTTTAAGCTTTTCTTTTGTTTCCCAATTATCCTTATTTTAACTATGAAACTTTTCTGGGATTCTTTTAAGAAAAAAGAAATAGCATATTAATATGTACAAATCCCAACAGACAAGCCGGTTGACATACACGGGGCAACACGAGAGTAGCAGAAGTTACGGGATAGTTATTAATGGATCAGTCTGAGCTTGACACATCCTTTATCCTTCAGGCCTTGCTGTTTCGAATCTCTCATGGGTTCCGGTCCATGATTGATCGACGAGACGAAGAGGGTTTCTGAACGGACCGGGGAGTCATGGATCTAGATTCGAACGGAATGAGCGATTGCCTCGAAGGATCTGCGTGGTTATCCACAATGAGGGGTACCTTTTCTTAGTTTGGTTCCACCATACGAATCATTTGAATTCAACATGTCGTTATTGTTGTCTCACGCCGGGGTTCTATATCAACAATGAGGTGGAAAGACAGGTTGTCTCTTGGTTAGGTAGTTAACTGCAACGCTTCGGGGAAGATAATGTTTCTTCCCACGTTAACTCGTTGCAGGTATTTGCGCGTTCTGCCTCAATCTAGAAGATATGTATCCTCCAGGGTGGATCGCCTTGGATCGACAGGGAAGAAACAGCTACAAGATACCGGCCTTCAAAAACGTTTTGAACCTTGATCGGCATTCTCTGAACTCCTTCCGGCCGTGCTCGATAATCAGAATGTGAAGAAGGAATGCAGTTTCGGAAGTGGGAATAACAATAAAAGATGGGCGTTCCCTCTCAGTATAACGAGAAAACTGTATTAAGATATAATTGAACTAGAAAGCCCATCTTCCTTCCCCATCGCCTAGAAAAGCAAATCATTCTGGCCCCAAGCAACGCCATGTAGATTAGATAGTTAATAAACAGAGCTGCCACGGAATAGCAAAATAGATATTGAAAGATCTTACAAGTGGCAGATGATTTCCATTGTCACCCAAAACAATGACTTCCCAGGGAGCATACCAAGAAACCCGTGGGGCCTCCCAAAGGGAACCCCCTCTTTGTGTCTAGGCATTCAAAACTTATTGCTGTACACTGTAGTACTATGTATGTCCCTGTACAGGACAATGTTGCAGGGTCTGGGCCTGAGGATGGAGCAGCCAGCTTTGCTCGTTTAACCATTAGACCAGAAACCAGCAAATAAAACCCATAAACAAAACTTCAAGCAGAACACGGTATCCCATGCATAATCACGAAGGCAGGGCCGAAGTCAACTCCGTTATGTATCTTCAGAAATGGTATTTTGGGCGGCTATTGCGATATTTTGTCAGGTCTTTTTGGAGCCTTGGCTAAAAAATCCAAACTAAAGCTCATATGCAATGCTGACTGGTACCTTGGCAGTTGCATCGGGAATTAAAGAATGGGCATAATAATAAATGATTGATCAGAATCAGGAGTTTACTGCAGAAGAAAATTAATTGTGGTTCAATCACCCTCCTTAAGGACGAATAGACGCTGGAGGTAAAGTTGTTGATGATGAGTTGTTCATACACACAAAACGCTAGGAATCTTGAATCTGAAGGTTGGTATTGGTATGATGAATAGTCAGAACGTAGCAGGCATAGGATTGTAGTATTCATAATGACTAACTAATCAATATCTGACTAAAAAAATGACTATCAACTCTAGAAGAAGAAGAAAAAACACTGAGAAAAGAATGAAATATATATACATGCATGCAGGGTGTACGTGAGCTTAGTCATAAGAAAGGCATACAGCCGCAGCAGTCAGGGATCTGAAATGTATGAGTGATATGATGCTTGTGACACACCCCCCAGCTGAGCACTGTCAGACATGAAGCTGAAGAGATTACCTAAATAGGCCATGGATAGGAGATGTGGATGCCTGTTGGAGGCATAAAACAAGAAAATGAGCAAGCAAAAATAACTAAACAACTAGGGCCAAAACAGGTCTTCTAATGAGTAATAAGATCAGTAACATTCATCAAGTCAAGTTGATGCATGAATGAGGTGTGTTTTTGCAGCTTCAATGACTTTGTGTCAAGGCTTCAATCTTGGCAGGTGAAACAGATGTTCGATTCCCAGCTAGGTAAGCTATCTAGACGAAATACTAAGATGGTTCCTAAGAGATGGGTTCGAGGAAGGCTCTGTTTATATAGCCCTTTCCTTAGCGCCGTTGCCCCTTTTCTTAGCGCCGTTGCTAGGCGATTCCCCACGTTTACGTGTTATTCGTATGCGGGGTAATTGTGGGGTTGGTTGCTTTGCAGATGCCTAGGCAGTTGTGATTACCGATCGCCTCGGTCCGTGGCCTTACGCTGTCGAGGAGGCTGGACGGAGCCTGTTCTACGCCATCACACTTTGTAAATCTGTCTGCTGACATATCTTTAGTTTCTACTCATTCAACATCAATAAGTTCACACTGGACATGTTCTCTAAGTCAATGATGATGAATATCAATGTGTCAGAGATGTGTATTTAGCTCTGAGTCAGTGTGGATGAGCAAATTTGTGATTTGATAATTATCACATAGTGTTAGGGAGCGAATGCGAGCTACATAAGAAGGAAGCTCTCTGCGTTGCTAACTACTATATAATGAAATACTAAGGTTGGTGAGGAAAAGGGGTGTCAGGGTCTGCTCAGATTATAAACGGCCCATGTGATCACGTGACTGGGTGACGGCTGATCCGCTATGTCCCAAATGGGGCGTGGTCACGTGATGGGGATAAACCTAGCCTCAGCGCTAAGCCTAACATCTGTAAAGGGTTAAGCTCTAAGAACTAGAGGCTAGTCCTCCTATATAACAAGGACGAATTGCTTGAGAAAGGGAAGAAAAGAATGAGATGAGAACTCAAGCTTAAGCAAGCTCACGTAGCATGATCATGTGTGCATGTGCAAATGATGACTAGGCTGAGTCAGCCAGTCAGAGCAAATCTAGAGATTCAACCTCTTATAATACCCCCCTTCTCCCTCTTTGTTGCGGGTCTTTATGACTATTTAAAGTCCTCTTTACATCTAATTTTGCCTGCTGAGAGGTCTCCCAAGTGTTCAAGGCCTTCACTTCTTGTAGGAGACTTGCATCATTTCATGTAGACTCAGTCCAATCTACTCATTTAATGAGGTATTGCTTTTTTCTCTGATAGGTTCATTCACTCTGAATTTTCTCAATCTCAAACTCAGATCCTTTCAGGGTCTCTATAGCAGGTGGCTGCCAGTTGATTTGCCTCTGACTAGGCAGGGAATCCATCACTACAGCATGTAGAAGCTTTACATTAAAGACATTGTGAATGTCAGATAAGATGTTTAGTTGATAAGTATGAAATTCTATCTTTTCTAGCACAGTATATTGATTGTATTTCATGTCCAGCTTCTTGCACAGATGATTAGTTCTCATGTTCTCTAAGCTCAATCAGACTTTATCTCCAGGTTGAAAGCTTGAAGCTGAGTCTCTTCATCTATTTGTGTATTTCTCTTGAGATTGCTAAGCATTCATCATTTTTACTTAAGCTCACTTCAACACTTTATAAGCCTTCCTCATATAATCATTTACAAACTCAATGAGATTACATGGCATTTCAACAGGGGTTACATCAGCTTTATCAATAAAGGAGACATGGAAAAGATATGTTAAAAAGAATGAGCTCATACTCATTGAGACAACATCTCTATTATTGATGACCAGCTCTGCTAGAGGGAGTTATTCACATCAGTCATCCTGTTGAAAGCTAATGTACTTGTGTAGATAGATTTTCAGAATCTGATTCATTCACTCTGTAGCTCTGTCAGTCTCTGAATGATAGAGTGTGGAGAGTCATCTCTTAATGCCTAATTTCTCACATACCTGAGTTCAAAATATGCTTGTGAAAGCTGACTCTTGATCTGACACTACTGCCTTAGAAATGCCATGTTGAGAAATGATGTTGTGAAGAAACACTCTAGTCACTGTCTTCACATCAGTTTTCTTAACTGCTTTTAATATAATCTCCTTAGTCAGTCTGTCTGTTATAATCATAATGTTTGTATATTCTTTAGAGCTCAGTAAGTTCATAATAAAGTTTATGAAAAGCTCCTGCCACATATGTTCAGGAATGAGAAGAGGCTTAAGCAGTCTCTGATGTCAATCTTTTCATGCAGTGTTTGATCTGCAAAGATGACATTTCCTGATCATTCTTCTCACATCAGTGGCATAGCCTGGCCAGTAAAACTTATGTCTTAGAACTTCTGCTATTTGCTCTCACCTGGAATGGCCAGTAAGAGGTGAGTCATGAGCCTTGTGCACTAATCTGATTCAAAGAGATTCAAAGTCTGGCACTCACTTATGATCTCAAAAGAGAAGCTCCCTGTTCTCATTTAAAGAGCACTCAGAGATAAAAGTCTTAATGCTGAGTTCAGAAGAAAATCTGAATCTTCTCTCATGAAGAATTTGCTTCAGATGCTGCAGGATCTTGTCATTTTTGTGAGTCTCATTTCACTGAGCTTGAAGAAACATCTCAGGTTCCACACTGGCAGCAGCCACTCTTGATTCCATTCCAGGTGCCAGTATGTTAAACTTAAGTAGTTGTTAGGCTCAGCGCCCGACCGAGCCCGACCGAGGCTCGGTGCCCGGTTAGACTCGACGTCGGATTAAGCTCGGCGCCCGGTTAGGCCAAATATTCTCACGTGATCAAACGACCATGCGGGTGGTTATAACCCAGGCAGGCCCCAGCACCTCTTTCATCCCATCAAGCTTAGTATTTCATTATATAGCAGTTAGCAATGCAGAGAGTTTCCTTCTTATGCAGCTCACATTCACTCCCTAACATAATACTAAGCTTCATTCTACTCCTTCTACTCAGAATTGAGTAGAACCTGCTCAGTGAGAATCTGACAGCACAACATACAACAGCAACCCATCCCCCTTACTACTCACCAGAGAGACCCAGACCAGAATGGCCACCCCAGACTTCCAGCCCTCTGAAAAGACCAAGAGGGACTGGTGATATGTTCTAACTAGATCAACTGATCAATCACAGGTCTCACTTGAAGAATTCAGACAGGCAATTCACTCAGACAAAAATCATATCTACAAAGAGTTAGCAGCAATCTTTGACAGCATCTTTGATGATGAAAAAATGTTGAGAGATACAATCACACATCTGAGGATGGAACAGAACAACATCACTGACCAGGCCACTGTCAAGCAAAGTCAGATTGATGAGCTAATTGCTGAATGTGATGAACTTAGTCACACTCTGATCCACATGACAGTCAGCAATCAAGCAGCAAGTTGAGGTGTCATCTTCTCTGAGACTACCCAGAGGTCTGTCAAGATTGATGACTCAAAACATCTCACTGACAGCAAGAAGTCAAAATTTGAACACTGGCTCTCCTGGATGAAGAACAAGCTCTGAGAGAATGCTGACCACTATTCTACTGAACACATGAGAATTGCATACATTGAAAACTAGACTGATAAGGACACAGCATGTCACATTGCACTCTGTATGGAAGAGGACCATCCTGAGTGATATCAGACTGCAGAAGAGATATTTGAGCACCTCAAGTCAATATATGAGAATGCTAACAAGCTGCAAAATGTCAAGAGTGATTATCACAAGCTGATTATATGCAATGAGGACAATTATCATGAATTTATCACAAAATTCTTACACCTGGCAGATGAGGTCAAGATTATCAAAGAGAACTACAAGACAGACTTCAATGACAAGCTGTTCTTTGACCTTCAGAGAATGATGACAGTAGTCAATGCAATCATCAATATATATGCTGAGTTTCAGAAGATCTGTGCTCAGGCAGTTCACACCCTCCAGACAATCAATGCCACCCAGAAGTTAAAGAGCTTGCAGGGAAATGAGTCTAATATTTTCAAGCAAAACACCCTGTGGGCCTCTGACAGTCAAACTTCCCACAGCACCTCAGCCACAAAATCCTCTATCATAAAGAAAGCCTTGAGTGCTCATTCAGATATTCAGTGCTACTACTGCAAGGAGAAAGATCACATTGCCAGGAACTGCTCTATGAAGCAGAAGTCTCAACAGGTGATCACTGAGCTCACAGAGAATGACACTTCTGAGCCTTCAGCAGATTTGAGAAAAGAGTGAGCCTGAGAGAAGACTTCACCTCAGATAGTTCAATAGTCTGTGAGAGATTTGAGATGAAGGACTTGATTGAGGGAAAGAGCTTTAATGTCTCAATTAAGTTAGCTCACAATGAAATTGCTACTTCTACAAATTCTCTCACTGATACTGAAGCAAATGATGTGAATTTTATTGATACTCAATACACTATAGAATTGATGAGATTCTTCAATAGGAAGTTTCAGGAACTCTCATTCAAATGCTGCATGAAGGGATACAATGGTGCCCCTGGTGGAGTGATAGACTGCACATTGACTCTAAACCTTTGAGTGAATGACTGGAGATTCTGGAATGTTCCTCTGCTGGTGACAGACCTAGACCAGTACCCTGTCATCCTGGAATGAAAGTGGTTGGCAGCACAGGATATATGACTGAATGTTAAAAATCAATGCCTGGTTTGACTGAGTGAACAGTCTATCCTGGAACAGGTGATGAAGTCAATGCTGAAGATAGTGCTCTGATCAATACTGAAGCATTCAGACTCTAAGTCTGAGCATCAGACAGATGCAAAACAAAGAGAGATCAAACTGAACAAGAAGATCAGACAGAAGCATCAGGCTCAGCTCTGCAGATTGAAAGGGATCAGCTCAGTCATGACACCTAAGACAAGGCAGAGATCAACCTGGGAGGAGACAGCATCACAGATGATGAATATGAACTTCATTGAGACTGCTTCTTTTCACAGTTATATGAAGAACAAGAACTCAACAGTCTTCATAACCAGTCTGTATGAAATTAATAAACAGCTTGAGAAGAAGTGGAGTTTAGTGAGAGCTGAGGAGGAGTCTGATGAGAAGCTGATCAGCAACTTATCAGAATGATTGAAAGACCAGAAGGACTGTTTCTCAAAGAAAGCATCAGATGAATTACCTCCCCTACAGAAGAATGTTGATTTTAAGATAGAGCTTCAGTCTGACACTGACCTCATTCAGGACATTGGATATGTGCCTCTATATAAGATGAATCTGAAGAAACTAGAAGCAGTGAAGACCTACCTTGAAATCAATCTAGCAAAGGGCTTTGTCATTCCAAGTTCAGCCCCCTACACCTTCTCAATCCTGATTGCTTGTAGTGGGAAGAAGCTATGATTCTGCATTGACTTTCACAAGCTGAATGCTATGATCAAATGAGATCAGTATTCCTTGCCTCTAATAGATGAGCTGATGGACCAACTCAACAGGGCAAAATACTTTACAAAGCTGGACATTCAGCAGGGGTTCCATCACATCTGAATGAACTCTAAGTCAGAGGACCTGACCACCTTTAGAACTCACTACAGGACCTATAAATACTGGGTGATCCTCTTTGATCTTACAAATGTCTCTGCCTGCTTTCAACAGTTTGTCAACAGTATCTTCTTTGACTACCTGGACAAGTTCATGACAGCATTCATGGATGACCTTCTAATCTACAGCAGGACTCTTGAAGAACACAAGCAGCAAGTGAACCTGGTACTGAATCAATTAAAGACAGCAGACTTGCAAGCTAGCATCTGGAAATGTGAGTTTGCTGTTCAGAGAACAAGATATCTGAGGTTTATCATTACCACAGGGGGGATTGAGACAGACCCTGAGAAGACTGCTGTTATCACAAAGTGACAGATTTCAACCACAGTAAAAGATGTTCAATCATTTCTAGAATTTGACAACTTCTATCAGTGATTTATAAGGAACTATAGCCAAATTGCAAAATCACTATACCAGTTGACAAAGAAGACAGTTCCATTCATGTGGACACCAGAATGTCAATCAGTCTTTGAGAAACTGAAGAAGCAGCTGGTGGAGACTCCAACCCTACATTACTTTGACTCTGGATGTGAAACCTGCATTGAGACTGATGCCTCAGATGAAGTGATGACTGAAATACTGAGTCAAAGATTGAATGATAATCTTTGACACTCTGTGGTCTTCTACTCCAAGTTAATGAATGATGCAGAGCTCAACTATGAGATTCATGACAAGAAAATGCTTGCAGTCATCTGAGCATTGCAGAAGTGATGAGCTGAGCTTGAGGAACTACAACAGGAAGAATGATTCAAGGTTCTCACTGATCATTGTGCACTGGAATACTTCATGACAATCAAGAAGCTGAATGCACATCAGGTCCACTGAGCAGAATTCCTTTCTCATTTCTATTTTGAGATTAAGTATTGACCAGGTAAGGCCAATCTGCTAGCTGATGCACTGAGCAGGCCTGAGCAGATTAAAAAGCAACAGGACAGTCATATGCAAATTCTCCTAGAACCAGAGATTCTTGACCCTCAGATCACTCTCTCTATGAATATTGCTGGCATCAACTCCTCAGAGGAAGAGAACATTGCTGAACACATAGTGTCTTTAAACAAGACAGTCATCTCAATTGAGCCCCTGTGACAGTAAGTAGGAGAGGAGAATAGCCCCTATACAATGGAGGATAATATGTTGCTCTATCATAGAAGATTGGTAGTGTCTGTCCAGGAAGAAACTCTTATAGCTGCTCTGCTAAAGGAAATTCATGATCAGGCCTCAACAGCACACTCAGGAGGACAGAAGACCCTGACTCTGATTCACCCCTGCTATTGATGAACCACCTGATGGATGAATGTCTTATGCTATATTCAGAACTGTCATACATGCTGAGTTAGTAAGATTCCAAGGGACAAAGTCCCCAGCCTGCTAGAGCCACTATCAATACCAGAACAGGCATGGCAGCATATCACAATGGACTTCATGGATGTGTCAAAGAGCAAAAGTGACTGTGATGCCATTCTAGTTATAGTCTGTCAGTTAAGCAAGAAGACAATTTCAGTTCCTACCACCTGTGAAGTTACAGTCCAGGAGCTGGCTTGATTATTTATCTGATTCTACTATTTCTATAATGGGGCACCAGACTTGATTGTCTCTGACCACAGCCCTCAGTTCATATTGAACTTCTGGGATGAGTTCACAGGAATTCTAGGCATAAAGTTGAAACTCTCAACAGCACATCACACACAGACAGATGAGCAGACAGAGATGACAAATCAGTATATTGTCACACACCTTCACTCATATGTTAATTACTATCAAAATGACTGGGATGAGTGATTACTCATTATAGATCATGCTTCTGCAGCCATCTCAAACATCTCCACTGAGATCTTCTCCTTTCTAGCTGCAAATGAATATGAGTCACAAACATCATTTGACTGGAGGCCCCTGTCAAGGGAACTAAGGACAGAGGAGAGGACAAATCAAAGAGCTGCTCAAAACTTTGTTAAACAGATGAAAGAGATCTGAGAGTGAGCAGGCAAGGGCATGAAGACAGCACAGAAACAGATGAAGAGGCAGACTGACAGACATCACTGAGAACCTGACTTCACAGTGAGAGATTTTGTCTACTTGACATTGAAATCATACAGAATTGACTGATCAAGCTGTAAGCTGACAGCACAGAACACAGGCTCCTTCAGAATTCTAGAGAGAGTGGGCAACACCTATAGACTGAACCTCCCCACAATCATGAAAATTCATCTAATCTTCTCCTCAGACAAGCTGTGCAAAGATCCAAGAGACCCCCTACCAGGGCAGACTGTCAAACCACCAGATCCAATTGAGATAGATGGAGAAAATGAATGGAAAGTGGAGCATATATTAGTCAGTTGAATAAATCAAGACAAACTGCAATATCAAGTCCACTGGAAGGGATTTGATGAGGACTCATCTTGATACCCAGCTCATGACTTCAAAGGATCACCACACGCCATATGCGACTTCCATGAAGCTAACCCTACAAAAGCTGGACCCTCAAGGCGACTAGATGAGTGGCTGAAGGCATGGGAGACAGACAGCTACCTGAAGGATGAGGTTGATGATGATCTACCAGCATGAGGACATGCCTGTCCCTAGACCAGGGGGTGATGTTAGACTCAGCACCTGACCGAGCTCGACTGAGGCTTGGTGCCCAGTTAGACTCGACATCAGATTAAGCTCGGTGCCCGGTTAGGCTCAAATATCCTCACGTGATCAAATGACCATGCAGGTGGTTATAACCCAGGCAGGCCTCAGCACCTCTTTCATCCCATCAAGCTTAGTATTTCATTATATAGCAGTTAGCAACGCAGAGAGTTTCCTTCTTATGCAGCTCGCATTCGCTCCCTAACAATTATAGACTATTGAAAGCCTTAAATCCTGCATCATGAAGTTCAGTGATAGCACTGATATATGAATAGACTGGATTAGCAATCATGCTAACAAATGAATGAGCAACATTGAAAATGTCTAGCTGAATGAAATAAAGTGACAGACTTGTACAACAAATACACAAATGAATTAACACAAAGCAATGAGCAGGGACACCCTCAGCAGCTTTGAACAACAATGGATGACCTTTCTTCAACAGTAGGAACAGGTCCAGTGTGAGAACAGAGATTTAATAGCAGCTCAGCAAGCTGAAATAGCTAATCTATGACAAGCTTTGAACACTCTAACATCAACCCTCTCTCAATTGAACCTGCAATTACTTATTGCAGTCAGAAGATCAAAGATCAAGCTATTAGACTCTGAGAAGTATGATAATTCTAATCTGAAGCACTACTCTCAGTGAGAGCTAAAGCTTCAATCAAAATTTAAAATCAATGAGAAAGCTTTAGATAATAATGAGAAATGTGCTTGATATGTGTACTTGAGACTAAAAGAAATGACAGCAGCTTGAGTTTATCTCTGAGTTAAGAATAATAAGAACAAGATCAACTTCATGGTAGAGAGCTTACTGAAGCAGACACACATGCTCTTTAGTGATTCTGCACAACAGGAAAAGACTATGCAAAAGCTCAATAATCTATGACAGAGTAGAAAAACTCTCTTTGACTTTCTATCTGAATTTAATCAGCTACTGCTGGAAGCTGATAGTCATGAATGAGATGATCACATTAAAAAGAGGTATTTGAAATCCACCCTAAGCATAGAGCTGAGGGAAGGCATAATGAGTGTAAAGAAATCATCTCT